GGTGCATGAGGGTTCTCTTGTCTCGAGGCTAGACGTCTCTCAGGTGTTAAAAGTTGTCTCTGAAGGGGCTGGGGATTTAGCTCAGCCGCACAGCACCTGCCCAGCAAGCACAAGGTTGTGTGTTTGATTTCTGTTCCGGGGAAAAAAAAAAGTCTCTCAAAGTACTGCGCTTTCTTCCTGGTATGGATAACTTTACTAATAACAATTTCCATTCCAAGTGTCAGTTTCCATTACAAAAGAGGGAATCTATACTTTATTTTTTTTGTTGTTTTTTTGGCCCCAGGAATCGAACTCAGGACCTTACACTTGCCAGGCAGGCACTTGTGCCACTGAGCTGTATCCTGGGTTATACTCTGTTTTAGACAGTTGAGTAGGAAGTGGACTGGCCAGGAGGGAGTTTTTCCTGGGTGGCTTTTAATTTCCTTCAACTCAAAATAATCAACACTTCAAATTGGCATATTTTGGGGTAGCACATTCTAAATCCCTCATGAACATTTTCTGACTCCAGGTACATTTTTTCCCCCTAGGCTGAGATGTGGCACTTGTCTGGCATGTGGAAGGCCCTGGGTTTGATCCCCAGCACCGCACACGCAATTCTGAACGCTTTTCTTCCTGTGAACAATCACGACACCCTTCTACAAAGACGTTTAAGCGATAACTAGAACACATCCTCAACTACCTTTATATAATCTCCAAGTTTTGTGAAACTTTCTGTCATGATGAACACTGAAACAGAGCGTGAAACAATTACCTATACTCCAAAATAATCATTTGGGGAAAACTGACATTTTTTCCAAATGTATGACTGTTCTTTGACAGGTAAACTGCTAAATTTTGTGCTCTGCAGTTATGCTTTTCATAAAGTATATTATTGTATTCTTCATAAAGTAATTACTTGTCATAGTTTATTATTACTTTTTAGTTTATTATTATAAAATCTGTGTTCTATGTTAGCCAGAAATTGATCTGCTAATCAAGTAAACTTATTTAATTTTTTTCCCCAAAAGTGTTTTTTGTTTAGGAAAATGCTGTACCACCGAACTGTACCCAAAACCCCTCACAGCATTTTAATATCCCTTTGGGAATGATTTTTACCATATTAATAAATACAGAGCATATATATATATGTATATAATTTTCATTTTTGATGATACTGTCTTTGTACTGAACCACTGACTGTGTTGTTTTGTTTTGAGACAGGATCTTGCTGTGATCTAGGCTCAAAAAATTCTCCAGCCTCAGCCCCCAAGCACATCGGGTGATGAGTGCTCACCACCATGCCTGGTTCCACTGGATATTTGCAGGGAAAAAAAATCAGTAGTATTTCATTATCCTTAAAAGTTGAAGACTGTTTGTGTGTGTGTGTGTGTGTGTGTGTTTTTGTGTGTGTGTGTGTGTAAACCTGAGGCCTTTGCACTTTCTACATTTCTAGCTCTGTTTTCTTTTGAGACAGGGTTGTACTATGTAGCTGAGTTGCCCAAGCTGGCATTGAACTTGTGGTCTTCCACCTTAGCCTTCCAGAGAGGTGGCATTAGGTGCCACCAAGCCCCGCTATTTGAGGACATTTTAAAAATCAACACTTTAGTTTAACTAAATAAAAGTACCTTATACTTTGGTCTTATTTTAGAAGATAAACATATATTCAGTCAACTTTAATATCTATTCTAATTTGATGTTCGTATGAATCGATATGCACACCGCTGCAAAACAAGTGTAGCATAGGGAGCTCATGAGGACACAGCTCCGCCTGGCCCCAGGCGAGGGAGAGCCATCCGGTGCGTAAGAGCCGTCAGTGTAAAATGTGAAGAGGGGAAAGGAAACATTGCTTTGTTCTGTTTCAGTCTTGCTCACTATACTGAAATTCACTTCTGAGCTTAGCGTGGTGGCAAGTGCCTGCAATCCCAGCACTTGGGAGGATGAGGCAGGAGAATCACCGGGAGTTTGAGGACAGTCTGGGAGACATAGTGAGTTTGAGGCCAGTCTAAACTACATAGTGAGACCCTGTCTCAAACCACAAGTTCTCAGCTACTAGCTCTTTAGCACCCAAAAAGGAAAAGAGAACTGGCCGGAGCCAGGTGTCAGAAAGTTCTGCCTGGGAGATCAAAGTGCTGATGAGAGGAGCCTCGTGGGCTTGCTGGAGCAGGGGCTGTTGTTTTAGGAGTGTGCGTACCTGTGTCATGCTCAGCCGCATCTTCTCAAGGGTTCTCACGAAAGGGATACGGAAATAAAAAAGGGAAGTGTGCATGCCTTTTCTCAGAAGGTCTCTCTTCTAAGCAATAACTCTGCCTGATTCCTGTTTTAAGATTCTTGTGAAATGACAACTCACAGGAGAGGGTCTTATTACTGTGATAATGCATGCTTTATTTTTTTCCATCACTGAAGGCAAAAACCCTTTGGGGAGTGAAATTCAACACTCAATTTAACAATACGAATTCACATCGAAATGTAAAACCGATCCAGCTAAGAAAACATCCAGATGAAATGAAATGGCCTATGACAATGGTATAATCTCATGTATGGTATGATACCATTTCAGTGATAGAGCTCATGTTATGAGGACTACAAATTCTGTCCTTGATGTTAATTAAGCTTCTGAATAGCTCTGATGGCAAATACAAAGGTAGACAGTTCGGAGATGAGAAAATTGAGACAAGAGAGCCTGTGCGACTGGTCCAGTGATGAAAGAGAAGTTGCAGAGATGGAAATTTTACCTCCTGTTCTCAGCTGCTTCCCAAATGCTTTTCAAGCTCTGACCCCAGAGCACAGACATTTGTCTGAGTTGCTGCAGACAACGTGTTTTGTTTTGTTTTTTGTACTGGGAATCGAACTCAGGACCTTGCACTTGCCAGGCAGGCACTTATATCCCTGGTGCGACAACATGAATTAGGAAAAAAAATCCTAAATGATCTATTAAATTTACAAATATTTGTTGTACCCTTTATATCTGTCAAAGACTATACTAGACACTGGGGCTCTAAAAATGAAAGAGATAAATCTCTAGGCTCTAAAATTTCAAGTCTAGCCAGGCCTGGTGACATAGGCTTGTTTTCTTTTTTTTTGGTTTTTCTCCGGTACCGGGAATCAAACTCACAACGTTGCGCTTGCCAGGCAGGCGCTGTGCCGCTGAGCTAAATCCCCAGCCCCAGACATAGGCTTGTAATCCCAGCATTTGGGAGGCTGAGGCAGAAGGATTGCTGCAAGTTCAAGGCCAGGCTGGGCTACATAGTAAGACCCTGCCTAAAAAAAAAAGAAAAAAAAGAAAGAAAGAAAGAAAAGAAATTCAAGTTTAGTAGCTAGAGAAAGCATACACAGCATATTTCAACAGGGCAACAACACTCACACAAGACGGAGGAGTAACAAGTTCCCCTCCCCTTTTGGTAATTCACAAAATAATGTAACAATTAGTATAGTTTTATCTCATTGTTGCAATCACTACTCAGTGTGCCACTGAACTGCTCTTACCAAGATCTCCAACAATTTCCCTGCAGCTAAACGACCCAAAAGGCACACTCAGATTTCATCTTCCCAGTCTTCCGCATCCTTGGGCCCTGCGGACTTCGCCCTCTGATTTTGTCACTGCCCTGTTCTGCAGTGCTGGGGATCAAGCCGAGGACCCTGTACCCAGAGGCAGACGCTGAGCCACACCTCTTCAGTTTCTGCCCTCCTTTGTGTGTGTGTTTTTTTGTTTTTCTTCCGGTACCGGGAATCAAACTCATGACCTTGTGCTTGCCAGGCAGGCACAGTGCCGGCTGAGCTAAATCCCCAGCCCCAACTTGCCCTCCTTTGTGAAATGATCTCTTCCTTGGACCCCCTGACGTTTTCCTTCCATGTCTCTGATCATTCTGTGTCTGCTTCTTTGCGAACTCTTCTTTATGCACCTTTCCTCTATTTTGTTTTGTTTTGTTTTTCTTCCAGAACCAGGAATCTAACTCACGACCTTGCGCTTGCCAGGCAGGTGCTTTGCCACTGAGCTACATCTCCAGCCCCTGCACCTTTCCTCTAAATGTTCGGGTCTGCAGGGATCTTTCCGGGACTCGCTTCCTCTTTCCGGTCGCATCTTATTTCACCGAGCCGACTGCTGCCCATCTGTATCTCTAGTCCGGGGGTCTGTCTTGCACCCCAAACACCCGTCTACCTGCTGACTGTGGGCTGCCTCCATTTGCGTCTATTTATCATCGAGACCTGTTGGTTCTCACCTACGCGTGCCACGGCGTGCGCCTCTGTCTGCATTCCCTGGTCTACCGCCCTTGCTCAGCTCACCCTTGCTTTCCGCTTAGACTTTCTCTGGTCCGCTCCACTTAAAAGCCGTTCTTTTTATTCTATCCAGAGTGACCCCTTGAAAAGACAAATACGATCACGTTCAATCTTTTAAAAAACAAAACAACAAACTTTACTATTTCCTGCATTGTGCTTACACCAAATTGAAATTTCTTCTTTCTTTTGGGTTCTGGGCATCAAACCTGAGGCCTTGTGTGTGCTCACCATGTGCTTGACCACTGAGCTGTAGCCCAGTTCTAAGATACAAATATATGCCTTCCTTTTCTCCCTTCAGTATTAAGGATTAAACCCAGGGATTTCTCACTGAGCTGCATCCCAGCCACCTTTTTTTTTTTTTTTTTTTGAGGCCAAGCTTCACTAAATTACCCAGGCTCGGAGATCCTTCCGCCTCAGCTTCAGAGTGCTGGGATTACAGGTGTGCGTCACCACACCTAGAGTACAGTTGAAATTTCGTGACACAGCTGACAAAGTTCCACAGAAGCCCGTCTCTCTGCATCTCTCTGGATGCAACCCTTCCCGCCTGTCTCCCTCAAATTCCTTGCCTTAGTCATCCTGAACTTCTTCCAGCTGCTTCAGCATACCTCGCTTTCTCTTCCCTCGAGACCTGAATAGGTGAGGTCTCCACAGTCTGAGTTGGTTTTCATCTCTCACTGTGGTCCTTCCACCAACACGGGCTACTTTGCCCTGATGCCTTTCAGATTCAGCTTAGATCTCATTCGCACCAAGGTCGTTCCGCACCGCTCACTCCTGATCAGGTTCTCTTCTTATTTGCTCCCTGAATATCCTGTCCTTCCCCACTAGCGTAGGCCTGGAGATGCAGGACTGCAGCTGCCCGATCTCCTGTCCAGGCCCTCACCAGACCAAGCTCGGGGTAGGGAGCTCTGTGCAGGCCTTGCTCACTCCTGTGTGTGACAGGGCCCGCAATAACAGACGGTGGATGCTGTAATTATCCGCTCGGTGAAAGAATCAGTGGAACATTTATTGCTGCTCACTCTGCTCACTTTCGCACTGAGCATTTGGTAAACCTACCTTCCCAGTGGATCGCACATTTCCAAGGCTCAAGGACTGTAACTTGTATTTTTATGACATGTGACTTGTCGCCTTCTGTGGTGGTAAGCACAAAATAGATACCCGATCATGTATTAATTTGATAAATATCTAACACACATTTACAGCGTGAAAAGCAAAGGTCCAGTTCAGGAAGAGGGCGGCTGAAGAGAAAGAAGCGGGAAATGGGTCTGTTTTAAACTTCTTACTTCAAATTTTCACATAGGTCGTAAATGTAAATTGGCCTCAATCGCAGAGAAAATCTGATGGATTACTTTCGTAGCAAAGGATATTTGTTACATTTCCAGTTACTAAAGGACCAAGGAGTCAAGGTTTGAAAATAGGTTTCTGAAAACTCTCAACAAGGAGGAGCAGGAGGAAGAGAAGAGGCGGCCAGGTGTGTTGGCGCATGCTTGTGATCCCAGCCAGTTGGGAAATGGGAGGATCGCAAATTTGAGTTCAGCCTGAGCAGGTGAGTGAGATCCTGCTTCACAACTCGGAGGTATGATAGACACTGTGAAATGATAGGAAACCACTGAAGAGTAAAGGGCTTCCGGGATGTGGGAAAAGAGAAGGGAAAGAAGGAGAAATTTTGTATGTATGTATATACAGGATAGTTAACATGGTTGTTCTTCTGTCTTCTATTTCTATGCTGAAAGAAACTGTCAATGAGTCTTTGGTTGACCAGTATTGCATGTCTATATCTGTTTTCATGAGAAGCCACTTTGAAGGTATCAATATGTAATACAACCACCATTGTTAATTCCCTACCACTTTGTTTGTAACTCTGTATTGTCTGTATTGTGCTTGTGATATGTTGTAAAATGTTGTATGTCTGTTAATGTTTCCCTCCTTTTATCTTTAAAATTAAAAAAAAAAACAAAAAGAAAACAAAATAAAATTTTTAAAAAGGGGGCTGAAAATGTAGTTTAGTGGTAGAGTGCCTGCCTAGTAAGTGCAAGGCCCTGGGTTCAAGTCCCAGTACAGTACGGGAAAAAAAAGAAAAAAGAAAAAAGTGGGAAAAGCACAGGAGAAAAAAAGGCAATTGAATTCTACAGAAATAAAATAGCTGTCTCATATATTGTGCAATATGTATGCTTTGGCAGTGCAGGAACAGAAAGGTGTGTTTCCTCCCTCTGCATGGTACAGCTGACACTCCTGTAACAAAGACAGGTGCTGAGCATGGTGGCACATGCTGGTAAGGCTGAGGCAGGAGGATCACAAGTTCCAGCCCAGCCTGGGTGACTTAGTGAGACCTGTTTCAATGTAAAACCAATGTAGTTCAGTGTGACAGTCTGGGTTCAATCCCTGATACTACACAGACACACACAGACACACACAGACACACACACACAAGGAAAAAGCGTAACAAATTTACTTAATCGTAGTCTACATGACATGGATGCCTTCAGAACGAAGACCCAAAGACACAGGGAAAATGTCTATTTCCTACGCAGGTTGAATAAAGTAGGGACAGCCATGCAGAAATACAACTGGACAATAGGTACGATATAATAGTGATAGACTGAGGAAACCAGCAAGCCCTGTTTGTTGGAATCCTTCTTCGCCTCTCAGTTTTAGCCTTTTCTCCTCCCAGGCACAGAGCAACACCCCTCTGATATAAAGGAGGGTCTTCAACCTACTGTCGGGCAGGTCCTGGTAAAAAGGCGGAGGAAGACCGAGTGATGTTCCCAGGTTTTATAGCCTGCTTAGAGGAGAGCGGCTCTCGTTTCTGTGGCTTGCTTTGGGGAAGAAGCGTTCTGGTTTCTACTAATTGCTTTGGAGTTCAAAGTACCTAGCCAGCCAAAGTGCTTACTTTGGAGCTGTTGTCTGCTGAACTTCAGTAGCAGAGGTGAAATGAAAGCACATCCTTTCCTTCTGTTATATAATAATCATTTTAAAGAAGTCAAATGATGACTCTAATGTTAAAAGTTTTATTTAACTCATTAATTGATGAGGCAACAAGAAAGATATTACAGATAACTCTTGGATAATCCAAAGGCACCCATACGGATAATCAGCAATGAAGAGATTAATTCGCTTAATGGGTGTGACCCTGACTTCCTGGGTGAAGGGCACAGATCAATAGCAGTCTGGGAGCAATTTGCACTTGCATTTCCAGGAATCAGAATTATTCGCACTGTTATCAGTGTTTTGCCAAGGCAGAACTGTAGAACGCCTACGAGAGTACGAAAGATGAAATAACCTGCTTGACGGGCTACCTGCCTTCTTTTGGTCATTTCCAATCTGCTTTTGCTCACATCGATCTCTTGTCCATTTCAAAGTCTTTCCTAGCTCTTCCTGATATTAGTAGCCCCACAACTTGTCTTCCAACATAGAGCTACCATGTGCGAAGCTTTTCAGAAAAGGCTGCAGAAATATGAAGGGCTGTGGAGGATGACGTGAGTCACACAAATGTAAGGCCTCTGGGCGCCTCAGATAAAACTTGAGTAAATTAAGTCTCATTCTAAACAGATACCTGTGTGCTCTATAAGCCAATCTAACCTTTTTCTTTGTAATGTAACTCTGACTCTCCTGACCGCTTTAAAATAATGTATCTAGGGGCTGGGGATTTAGCTTAGCAGCAAAGTGCCTGCCTGGCAAGCTCAAGGTTGTGAGTTCGATTTCTGGTACCGGAAGAAAAACAAAAAACAAAAAAACAAAATAAAATAATGCATCTAGAAATGTACTTACTTATTTACTTTTTGACGTTGGGGATGGACTCCAAGGCCTTGCACATCATAGGAAAACATTCTATCACAGAGCTATCCCTTTTAAAAAGTTTTGGTATCATAAAATATTTTATGAATTTAAAGAGTTTACTGAATAACATAACAAACACCCAGGTACTCACTGTTCATTTTGAGAAGTACAATATTATAAATACAATGGTATTTGTACCCCCTGCCCAATCTTACTTCTCTTGGGGCTGGGGATTTAGCTCAGCGGCACAGTGTCTGCCTGGCAAGGGCAAGGTTGTGAGTTTGATTCCCGGTGCCGGAAAAAAACCCAAACAACAACAACAACAACCAACCTTACTTCTCTCCCTTCAGAAATAGCCATTCTTACTATGGATGGGGAGTTCATCATCCCCTTGCAGTTTAATGCTTTTTACAATGTAAGTTGCATCTATAGACAATGCATGGGATAGGATAGCTCTGCTTCACATGTTTTTAAACTTTATGTAAGTGTGCTGCTCTTCCCTCTGTAATGTGCTTCTCTCCCTGGATTGAACACCAGGGCCTCCTGCATGCTAAGCATATACTCTACCACTGAGTTTTACCGCTTAGCCCCTATAACTTGATTTTTCTATTCAATATTATGTTTTTGTGATTTTATTGAACCCAGGGCCTCACACATGCGAGGAAGCACTCCAACATGAACTATATCCCCACTCCTTGACTTTTTAATTTTTCTTTTATTTATTTATTGTGAAAACAGGGTCTATGTAATTCAGCCTGGCCTTGAACTCACCATGTAGCCCAGGCTAGCTTCAAACTCACAGCAGTTCTCCTGCCTCAGCCTCCCAAGTGCTGGGAGTACAGGTGTGCACCACCATGCCAGGCCTCTTTTTCTTTTTTTGAGACAGGGTCTTTCTATATAGCCCAGGCTGGCCTTTAACTCATGACAGTCCATCCTCAGCCTCCAAGTGCAGGAATTACAGATGTGCACCACCATTCTCAGCTTCTGACTTCTCTTTTTAATGTGTTATTTATATGGATGTTTTCTTTTTTTTTTTTTGTTTCTCCGGTACCAGGAACCGAACTCACGACCTTGCACTTGCCAGGCAGGCACTTTTGCCGCTGAGCTAAATCCCCAGCCCCTATATGGATGTTTTCTTAACTAGAGGACTTAGGGCTGGGAATGGAGCTCAGTTGTAAAGTGCTTGTAACATGTACAGGGCCATGGGTTCAATACCCAGCACCAATATAAATAAATAAATAGGTTTAAAAAGAGGACTTAGAAGCCAGGCACAGTTGGACGTTCCTGTAGTTTCAGCTCCTTGGCAGGCTGAGGCAGAAAAAAATCCCATGAGCCCATGAGCTTGAGACCAGCCTGAGTAACAGTGAGACCGTGTCTCAAAACCTATACACACATGGAAACAAAATCATAGCATCCCATATATGATCATTTGCACTTTGCTTTTTTTTTTAAACTTAATAATGTTTGCTGGAAATCTTATCAGTTCACAATGATCTTCCATGGTCTTTATTACATTTGTACAATACTCCAGATGCTAGATGTAACATAATTTATTCAACCAATTTCCTAGTCTGGATATTTACGTGGTTTCCAATATCTTACATTATAAATAATGCTGTAAAGCACATGTCAACCTCTGTCTATCTATCTCTCTTCCTACCTACCTACCTATATCTAAGCAAATTCTAGGTAATTTAAAAGAGTGGAATTGCTGAACTGAAATAAATGTACATATATTTTATTAGAAACTACTGAAATCACTGGGTGTGATGGTGCATGCCTACAGTCCCAGCTATGTGAGAAGCTGAGGTGGGAGGATCACTTGAGTCCATGAGTTCAAGACCAGCTTGGGCAACACAGTGAAACCCTATCTCAAAAAGCAAACAACAATACAAAGAAATTGTCAAACTTCCCTCATAAGAGATCCATTCATGTCTCGTTCCAATCAATCATAAATGTGAGTACTGGCTTCCCCGCAATCTTGTCACAATATATATTATAGTCTCAAGCTTTTATTTTTAATTTTTTGGTACCGGGAATCAAACTCAGGACCCTGTGCTTGCCAGGCAGGCTCTTGTGCCACTGAGCTATGTCCCCAGCCCCTTCAAGCTTTTAAAAAAACTTTTATTTATTTATTTTTGTCTTGAAAATGGTCTTATTGTCGAGCTTTTGAATTTTATCCAATCTTGTGGGTAAGAAATGGTAAGCTTCAATTTGCATTTCTCTTGTGAGTGAAGTTGATATTTAAAAAATACATCCCTATCCCTTCTTATGAATCATATATGTCTTTTTAAAATTTTTTAATTGGATTTTTGGTGGGCTTTTCTCTCCCTTCATTCAACTGTTAGAAGCTCTTTGTAAATTCAGGACATTGGCCACTGCTCTGATGTATATTTCAAATATTGTCTCCCAGTTCATCATTTGCTTTTTTTTGTTTTGTTTTGTTTTTCTCCGGTACCAGGAACCGAACTCACGACCTTGCACTTGCCAGGCAGGTGCTTTGCCGCTGAGCTAAATCCCCAGCCCATCATTTGCTTTTTTTGAGACAGAGTCTTGCTAGGTAGTTCAGGTTGGCCCTGAACTCACTATGTAGCCCAGGCTGGGATCCTCCAGCTCAGGATCCTCCTGTCTCAGCCTCCCGAGTGCTGGGATTACATCCATGTACCACCACGTCTGGCAAGAATTCTTTATTTTTACAGGAAAAAATTTAAGGTCAGATAATAAAAGAAACTGAAAGGTAACATCACCACTTTAATTGTACCACTTTCCCAGTTAAAAACATTAAAGTTCTACAAATGGGGCCTATGGTAGGTTTGTCAGAGAAGAGCTAATACTGGGATCTTTTCCATTTGCAGATGACCATATTCCTTTCCTAGACCCTTCCTCCCATGTGGAGGTTTCTCAGTGGTCATGGTGGTCCCACTCCAGGGTAGACCAATCTCTATCCTAGAAATTTGGGATTTTTCCCTTACATGGAGTACCTGACCCTGAATCCACAGAGGTGTGGATACACAGCTTATTGTGGTTTCTAGAAGAATTTCTTTATTGCAACCTGAAGTTTATCTTCATGGTTTCTTCTTGAATTCTGAACTATCTCTTGGAAATGTGGAGAAATTTCCTTTTTCTTTTTACTTATGCTAAATACTCAAAAATAAAAAAGATCTTATCTAAATCTTGAATTTATCTTATCCTTTATGCATCCCAAATTTATGTTCTCCTGGCAATAGGCCGTAGTCCTAATGATGTCAAAGCCTTTTAGTGGGGGTTCAGTTTAAGAAGATAAATGGGAAAAATGGAGTAACAAAAATCATAAAATTCCTTTACAATCAGGATGAGGGGATGGGCATGTAGCTCGGTGGTAGAACACATGCTTAACATGTGTGAGGACCTAGGTTCAGTCACCAGCACCAAAAATGTTTTAAAGATAAAAAGACTGCAGGTTCTACCTCGAGTGAGTTCTTCCTCTTCCTCTGGCCTGCTTGCTGTGGGAACAGCAGGATTTTAGGAACTGGATGTTGTTATTTACTTGCTGGCTCGCTTCACTGAAATGGCCTGTAGGAACTGAGGGCTTCCACAAACGCAACAGCCCGCGTGGAGTCCTGGGCCGCATAAGAAGGCCTGAAGCAAAGCCCTGCTCAGTCTTCTCATGAGATGGCAGCCTGACTGCAGGGACCCCGAGTGGAGCAACCCAGGCGAGCCGTCCTGGGTTCATTTACATCCTTCCTCTCCCCCTTTCCCTCTCTCTTTGTGGTGCTGGGACGGAACCCAGGAACTCACGCATGCTAGGCAAGTGCTCTACTGCTGACCTACGTCCCCAGCCCCCAAAGGTTTTTCTTTGAAGGTTATTTTCACATGGCATCCTAAGAAATCTCTAAACTTCTAAGGAGTTTTTCAAAGCTTCTTTTTGTCAAACTGAACTTTTAAAGGCAGATTTATATTATATACATATCCAGTCATGTTGGTAAGTTACAATATTTTTTCTAGTTTTTTGTGACAGTCTCTTTCTATGTAGCTCAGGCTGACCTTGAACTCACAATCCTCCTGCTGCTGCCTCCTGATTACTAGAATTATAGGTGTGTGCTCCAGCAACTGCTTTATGAATTAAGGTGTGTATGCTTTAAATTTGAATCTTTTTTGAAGTGGTTTTTTGACTCAGAAAGGTCTCTATCACTAGCTGCAGTGGATTTTCCCTTACATGGAGTCCCTGACCTTCAAGACCAGCTTGGGCAACACAGTGAAACCCTATCTCAAAAAGCAAACAACGATACAAAGAAATTGTCAAATTTCCCTCATAAGAGATCCATTCATGTCTCGTTCCAATCAATCATAAATGTGAGTACTGGCTTCCCTGCAATCTTGTCACAATATATATTATAGTCTCAAGCTTTTATTTTTATTTTTTATTTTTTGGTACTGGGAATCGAACTCAGGATCTCAGAAAGAGTTCATTCGAACTCAGAGTTCATTCCTCTTTCTGAGAATCATTTTGCTAATTTTGAAGACTGTGCATTTTTAAGGTCAAGTTCTGGATTTCAGTAGTCAGCATTATAAAGGAAAAGGAGGATGGCGGAGGCAAACTTTAATGGCAGAAGTGGAAGAAGAGGTTTTAGGCTCTTATTTAATAAAACTGAAATAATGACTTCACTGCACTAAAGTCTCTAAAAAGATCAGTCATGCCAATAGCAGATACAGAATTATGCTGCGCAATTTTGAGCTACATTATCTATAGTGACTTTAAGAAAAAGTAGAGGACAAACTTCAAGTCCAACACAAGATGCCTCTGACCATTTCAGTTCCAAACTTCTTGGGGAATTGCCTTGTGGTGGAGTCTAACTGCTTCCTCTGCCCAGTGCTGCTTCCTTCTTCCTTCCGTGTCTGATCCCACAGGTATCCCTCATGAACATATGTACACACAACTCCTCAGTGTTGGCTTTCCAGATAAGCCACTCTGTAACAGGAAGAAATGCTGTTTTGCCAAAAAGAAAAAAAGTATATTTATTTATGCCTGAATTCAGAATTTAGTTACAGTATTTATCAACTGTGGAACTAAATTCAGAGTAATAACAGTAATTTTTTAAAAAGGCTATAACATATTGCTTAACCCCCCTTATATAAAATGTCCAGAAAAGGCAAATACATGAAAACAACGTAGAGTAGTGGTTGCCAGAAGTTAGCGGAGGGGCGGGAGTGACTTCTATTGGGTATGCAGTGCTAAAACATTTTGGAAAAATTAGCTCTAGCATATTTTGTTTTGTTTTATTTGCTTTAAGTTTTATCAGTACTAGAGATTGAAGCCAGAGCCTCATGCATGCTAGGCAGGTGGTCTGCCACTGAGCTACACCCCCAGCCCTTATAAAGTTTTATTCTGAGACAAGGAAAATTGCCCAGGCTGGTCTCAAATTTGTGATTCCCCTGCCTCAGACTTTTGCATAGTTGAGATTACAGGCGTACACCACCAAGCTCAGCTAGCATAAGTTTTTGATGTATTTCCTATGAACCTGAGACAAATCTATCCATATGAAGGTCTAATAATCCACTTATCTATGCAGCCTACAGCTATCAAGCATATTCTTCTAGGCTTAATTTAATAGAAGGTCCTGGGAAGTTGAGGAAAACAAAGTCAGTAATACACAAACCCAAGTATCATACCAGTGAGAAATGAGAAATGAGGACTAATGGGGAGGTGGGTGTGGTTTTCCTTTACTGCCTTGTTGTGTTATTTCTCTAGGATGTATGTTTAGGTTTACATTTATGTCATTATGAACAATTATCACTTCCGTGAAAAGATATTTAGCATCAAATTATGGCTGATATTGCAGTGAGTGCTATACACTACTCAGGTTGCGTACCCTTGAGTCCCTTTGTAGTAATTTGCAATCTCACAGAGATGACTATACAGGAAGTCATGTGAAGTCATTTTAATTTAAAAAATAATTTAGCAAATAAATATACAAACATCAGAGCAAATGTTACCACGCTTGAGTGAAATATATAGCACAGCAGTTTTGGATACAGTAGAGATGAGAATAATTGACACGTGTCTCTAGTTAAGTCTGGGAAGTGATTATTTCAGAAACTGTTTGAATGATGGAAGAGGCAGGATGAAGTCTGCAGAGAAGGAAAAGAAAGCAACTCCAAATTTATGGTGAATGCATCAGAAGGGTGAGATGCTTCGACCAGGTAGAACTTGCTGCTCTACTTGTTGGTTACTTAATCTAATTTAATGTTCAACTGATTTAACCTTAGTTTCCTCCTTTGTAAAATGAAAATAAGAGGGTTGTTTTGAAAATAAGATCATATAGGGGAAAAAATTACACAAGGCATTATCTAACTCAAAAGAGATTTCTCATAAATCTCAGTAATCCTTAGTGTTAGAGAAACCTTAGAAGGAGAGCAGAAAAACCGGGCATGGGGGCACACACCCCTATAACCCCAACACTTAGGAGGCTGAGCCAGAAGCATTGTTGCAAGTTCAGGGTCAGCCTGGGCTACATAGTGAGTTCGAGGCCAGCGTCAACTACACAGGGAGACCCTGTCTCAAACAAAACAAGAAATAGAGGAGAAACAAGGTTAAAATATACTTGTAAATCCTCCACTCATTCCTTGAATTTTTGCAGATGGAAACTCATTCTAGGGCTGGGGATATAGCTCAGTGGCATAAGCGCCTGCCTGGCAAGCGCAAGGTCATGAGTTTGATACCCGTTATGGGGGGGGGGGAATCAACTCATTCTAGGGAGAAAAATCACACTTATTACAAGGAATTCACTAATTCCAGAATCAAGAAAGCCAGAACTAATTTAACACTGTAAGGTTTTTGTTTTGTTTCGGCTTGGTTTTAGTACTTCAAAAGACTTTGTTTTGTCTTTTTGAGACAGGGTCTCACTGTGTAGTTCAGGCTGGCCTAGAGCTCACTTTGTAACCCAGGCTGGTCTCAAACTCTCACCGATCTTCCTGCCTCACCCTCCTGAGTGCTGGGATTACAGGCATAAGCCACCACACCCGGCTGAGACTTCTTTTTAAATCAAATTTTAGAATACCTTTATTTTCTATTACTTTTAATCCGAGCATTTTCTTTTTCATGCACTGGTTCAAATTATTATAATAAAAGGTTATTGCAGGTCTCCCTACACGACAGACAAAAAAGATGAGGTACAGCCTGCAATTCTGCCACTCAAGAGGTTGAGGTAGGAGCATCTCCCATTCCGGACCAGCCTGGCCTACATAGCAAGTTCAAGGCTTGTATGGACTATACAGTGAGGCCTCTGTCTCAAAAAATTAATTCCTGCCTCAAAGTATTTGCAAGTCCAGCATGGTGGCACGTGTCTGTAATACCAGGACGCTTACAGGCTGAGGTGGTAGGGTTGTACATTTCAAGCCCAGCCTGGACAATTTAGAGATTTGTCTGGACCCTGTCTCATCATTTAAAAAACTGTAAAAAAAAAAAAGGCTGGGGCTGTAGCTCAGTGCAAAAGCGTCGGGTTCAGTGCCCAGTACCGCCCCCCCCCCCGGTTCTATCCAGAAGCCTCTACCCAGACCCTTGCCCGCGCAGGGAGCTCCGTGCCAGCCGTCTCTTCGGTCCTGTGCTCCGTGATTTGTGCTTGTGATTGTTCCACCCAGCCCGGCGTAACGGAGGCACCTGCTATACTAATTCACGAAACCGAGAAATCTGCCCGCATCAGATACTCCAGTTTTGAGGAATTCGGGGCGCTCTGGGAAAAGAAAATACTGAATCGTGCCCTAGACGCGCGGGAGGGTTCTGGCCCCGGCACCCTCCCCGCCGGCGGACGTGAGCGGCGGGCGCTCGCGGTCAGCCCCCCGGGCGCCAGCGTCCCCACCCGCAAAGCGAGCGCCCGCCCGCCGGTCCCGCCCGCGGCTCGCGGGGCCCGCAGCGCGAGGGAAACGCGTCAAGCGCGGCTGCATGCGGACGCCCGGGCAGGCCGAGCAATGCGCTCTCGGCAGGCGCGGGGCCACAAAGCACCGACCCTGGGTAACCTATTAACGCCCTTTGCTCACACTTGTGACTCGTCTTTCGAAACTCTGTACTTCCCCCACGCCTCTCTGGAACATAGCAAACACAGAGGAGGGAGAGACAGGGGGCGCGGCGGGACTCTGCGCCTGCGCAGTGGGCTCGGAGGGCCGCGCGGCCCCTCGCTTCCCGTCAGATCGCGCGAGATCTCCCGCCCTCGGCCTGCGCCGCGGCGAAGGTGAATCCCGTGGGTCGCGGGTGGCCGCTGAGTGTGCGGCGCCTGAGGCAGCAGCGCCCGACGCCGAGTAAAGCTCGCGCGGTAAGGGAGGAAAATTGGAGTTCGAGTGAACCCCCGGCTTCCCCTGGAGTAATGGCGACGCTGGTGTGGCCGCCTGGGACCCCAGCATGGGGCGTGTGGGAGAAGTGGTCTGACGGCGCGCGGGCGTCCAGGCGCCCTGGGGCTTCGCCCGCCGCGTGCCCGCCCGGGCGGGGGCTCTGCACGGCGCGGACGCTAGTGTTCGTCGCGTCGGTGCCCACAGTCTGGAAAGTCAGTTTGGCAGTCCGAACTAGAGACTGACTGTGAGTCCTGCGCCGTCCGTGCGCGTGGCGGACAGCGGACGCCGGAGAGCGAGGCGCGGCCCCGAGGGGGCGGAGCCGGCGGGACCCGCAGTCCCTGTAGACCTCCGCGGCCGGCCGGTCCCGAGCGGCGTGCGGCGGAGGCGGGGCGCGTGCTGAGTGCCTCTGCACGGCGCGCTCGGCGCTCAGGTCAGGGGCGCGGTGTGCGAGTGTGCGTCCCCCTGTCCATCGCGCGCCCTCTTCTCCTTAAGATTCCCACCTGATCAGAACCAGGACACTTAACTCTGCTCTTCCTCGTGTAAGGATCTTTCCCTTACACGGGGCTGCAAGGGAGATTCTCGACCTGCTGCTTATGAGCGGCACCAGAGAAATTTTTCAGTGGATCATTCATCCGGTATTATTTTGTCGTGTTACCTAGCGCCAGTTAGGAATCCGCTGAGTATCATATCTGACCACTAGAAATCAGATCTTGAACTTGGTGTATCTTATTTTTGATGTTAATTTCGTGATAAATCAAGTCCCTTATATTTTCAGTGTGTTGCTTGTTGTGCTGTTGAGGACTATTGCAGTTATCTGCATTAATTACTTGTATTTGGCGCTTGAAATTTTTGTAATACAGAGGGAGAGAACTAATAATGTACTTTCCATTCTAATAAGCAATATTTGGAGAAATCTACAGTTATGTGCACTTTAAAGAAATAAAACATACTGTTGAAAGTAGAGGATAAATATAAAACCTCATTTGGAAATATTCCTGTGATTAAAAATATAATGCTGTGTGTGGTGGCTCACTCCTGTAATCCCAGCACTGGGGAGGCTGAGGCAGGAGGATCGTTGTGAGTTCGAGACCAGCCTGGGCTACAAAGAGCTCAAGGCCAGCCTGAACTGCATGGCGAGACCCTGTCTCAAATAGACAAAAAAAAAAATAAGTAATAAAAATGTAGCCATCATAGGGTAATTAATAACCAGGATGGACAGTTTGTAAGCACTTTATTTGGAAAAACTTTGCTTTGTAACCCTTACATCACTTACACACATGGTGATTCAGTAGACATTTTCCTAGTGGATTTTATACGGTGATGAAATAGGGTGCACACATCATGACCCTCAGGGTTTCCAGTTGAAAAGAATCGAAACAGAATCTAGTCAAGCCCCCTCCCTCCCTCCCTCCCATCGCAATGCATGCCTATAATCCCAGTACTCGGGAGACTGAGGCAGGAGGAATGCTGAGAGTTCAAGGCCAGCCTGAATTACAAAGTGAGATTCTGTCTGTTGATTTTTTGTTTTTTTTTTTTTGTTTGTTTGTTTTGTGTGTTGCTGTGTAGTGCAGGCTGGCCTCAGACTCACAGCATTCCTCCTGTCTCAGCCTCCTGAGTGCTGGGATTACAGGTGTGTGCTACCACACCTGGCGAGACCCTGTCTCAAAAAACAAAACAAAAAAATCAAGCCGCCAGATCTGTGCAACCAGTCACAGGTATGGGGAGGAGATAGAAAAACAAGCCAAATAACACTTGATAAGGAAGCAATCAGAGGACGTTCTGTAGACAAGGGAGTGAAGAAACCAGGCAATGGCATGACACAGATTTCAGTATGTAGCATGTGAATTTTGAATCCTGATTCCAATGAATCAGCTGTTAAAAAATATCTTTGAAGCAATCAAAGAGATTAGAATATGCACTGGGTGTTACATGATGGTAGGGAGTTGCCTGTATTATTAATTCAGTAGGTATAATAGTGTAATCTCTGTTATCGGAAGTGTTCACCTGGAGGATTTTTGGGTGAAATGGGATGAATCTGGGATTTTTTTTTTTTTTTTTAGGGGGGATTTGTTTTAAGGGAAAGCTGGAAAGTACAGTTTTATCTGTGCAGCGCTGTGTGCAGAAGCAGAGAATGGGTGTTGAGGCCGGCCAGTCATGTTTGCACAACTAGGGAGACTGTAAATATATCCATTACAAAGTGGAATGAAGCAAGTAAGATGTATTTCTGTGTTCAGCATTCTCTTTTACTGAATGTCACCAGCATCAGACATTTAGCTCTCCTGCTGGGGATCTGTTACGGCTTGTATCTAGATCTCCCCCCAAAGCCTCATGGGATCATAGGTGGGGCTTTTTCAGAGGTGGCTGGATCTAGAGTGTGTGACACTGGGATTGATTCATGGTGCAATGCCAGGATCAAGGGTGCTGGGATGAAGGGTGTGAGTGCTACCCTCCCCAAGTAGCCTGGATTAGATGTAAGGGATAGAAAGAGCTGTGATCATCCCTTGCTTGCTTGTTGCTTTGCTACCTTCTGCCTGCCACAAACTGTTTCTCCTCTGTAAAGCCTGTGTGTCATGCCACCCTGCCTTGGAGCCAGCTGAGTATGGACTGAAACCTCTACAGCCTGGGAGCTAAATAAACCTTTCCTGCTTTAACTTTGGGTGTCAGGTATTTTGTCTCAGCAGTGAGGGAGAAGTAACTAAGACAGGATCAAACCAAGGGCTTCGCAGATGTGACACAAGCACTCTATTACTGGGCCACATACCCCAGCCCTAGTATTTGCAATATTTCTTAACCAGTAGAACCCTTCTGTAGGACAGGGTACCTGCAGGAGAGTTGGCAGTCACTGTAGCTCTGTATGTAAAAGCTCTGTCTGGGGGAGGTTTTGCAGAAAGAGTAGAAAATGTGAAGAAATAGAGATCTGGAATGAGGATATTTGTGTTTCAATCCCAGTTCCTCTCCTTGTCTGCATTGTGATCTTGGGCACAAATTCTACTTCAACTCCCTTTGTAAAAGGAGAATAGCAGTACACAGTCATCTTCCCATACCACTGAGGACTGGTTCTAGAGTCTCACGCCCTATGGATACCAACATCTGTGGATATTCAAATCCCTTGTATAAAATGGAGTAATAGTTACACATAAACCCCACATATCTTCTTACATTCTTTAAATCATCTCTAGGTTTCTTATAAACCAAATACAGTACAATGTAAATGCTATGCATGTAGTTGTTAGGTAGTTGTATTGTTTAGGGGATAATAATAAAACAGCTGTACATGTTCCACGGAGACTAAATATTCTTTGAAAATATTCTCAATTTACAGTTGGTTGAATCTGCAGGTGTGAACTGAAGGATATGGGACCCTGGCTGTATTTACATATGTAATTCTGTTATAAAGAATAAGTGATAAAACCTGTGAAAATTCTCTGTAAATTAATAATTTCATTATAAACAATACATTAAGCAAGATTTGAAAAAGAAAAAGATCTGCATACCTGTAGTCCCAGTTACTTGTGAGGGTGAAGGGGGAGGACCTCTTGAGCCCTTAAGTTTGAGACCAGCCTGGGTAGCAAAGTGAGAGACCTCCACCTCAATGAAAAAAGAAAAGAAAAAGAGAAAGAAATAAGAGACTGTTCTATGATGCTTGCTTAACATTTTGGGCCATAGAAAGTTCGGTTCAATAAAGGATATTGTATCAGATACAGAGAAATACAAAGAAATTCAAGGATCCTGCCAATTTAGACTAGCTCAGTGGAGTCATGTGTAAATGAAATTAAGATGGTTGTTAAATGTATAAGT